CCATTCACCTTCACATTCAAGGGGTGATTCCATCTTGGCATTTCTCAGTCTTCCATATCTCTTCTATCTCTTCCAACTTGTTCGCCTCCATGGTCTTTGAGTGAATCCCAAGTGACTTTTGAATGAAAGTCAGTCTTCTCAGTGTGGCACACAAGGTCTTTCACTATTTAATCCAGATGGCTGTCCTAGCTGAGTCTCATGAGACATTCCTCCAGGGGTATCCTATCCTCTAATCACACCAAGGACTTGACCTTTCGTTAGTACACCGCCACCAGTTATTATTGTTTAGCTTTGAATATGCTATTCTATAAACTTGGGACACCAGTCAAAAATCTAGGCATCCTGTGGATTGCCAAAACACACCACATCTTCTGAGAAGCCTCTCTGGACAGGCCTTACACTCTTTCAAGTACCCATACATCCCTATTCTAGCACTGGTCACTGACTTCATTGTCTCCCCTACCAAACTAAAAATGAGACCCCAGATTGTTGACTCAACACATGGCATTGCAACTTATAACAATGGGTAGTCATTATTTGTTGTGCAGCTGGGTGAATAGAGCAAAGGAGTCGGGCTTCAAGTTAAATTGTTTTAGTTTGTTGCATCTTGGTGGGTGCCCCCAGGATGCAGTCTGTTATACTCTGGGCTGTGAGCCTTAAGAGTGGGGAGTCAAATCAACCAGCTGGTCCACAGGAATAATATGGGGCCAGCGGTGGTATTCATATAATTTAATAACTGGTTCACTGCCCTATATAACAAAAGGTAGTTTATTATTTCATAGGGTTAATATTTAAATAAGAAAAATAAAAGAGGATCACAAAAATAGATTGTTATAAGAAAGAATTCTAACATATTAATGAAAAATATTATGTAATATCTGACCAAAAATTAAACAGTTAGTTAAGATATTTCCATATTGCTTCTTGATTGGCTATCTCACTTGCAATATTCTTCATTTTTATCGGGAGCATCCTCAGTTGTGTGATCCTTAACCATAATTTCACTCTACTAGTAGGATACCATTCCTCTAGAGGTAGGACAATTAGACAATAGTCATTGTGTTTGATACTTTAGAAACAGTTAGGCAACTTCTCTTTTCAGAATATATTATGTTCTTCTCTGGGAACCCCCTTTCCACTTCTGCTAAACTTACTGCAATTGTTCTGACAGTATTTTCAGCTCTTTGAACATTTTCGGGCATTGCGTCATTCACTCATAATACCTCATGAAAATTTGAGATGTAACACAGAGCTGAAATGAATGACAGCATGTCATCCTCTGGTTGTTTGGCACTTTTTCTTTGTGTTGTATGTTTGTTTACTGAAGTAACAAACACAAGGGAATACAAATGTGGCATTTCATCAAAAGAATGATGAGTTTCATGAAATTAATAAATAAATACTGCAAGTATGGTTCTTTCTAACTTTTTATACCTATGGATGGAATGAAAATTACACTGTTCTGCAAATGAACATTAAAAAATAGATCTATGTACTTACATTTACATGTTAAGTATTAAGGTAGCAGATGTACATTGGGTCTCAACTCAACTACTCCCTCAACACAAGAACACTTTGTTCTAATAATTCAGGTTTCTCTGATGCTCATTTTCCCAACACAATCGCTGAAGACAAAATGGGTGCATAAGCAAATGTGAAGAAAGCTGATGGTGCCCGGCTATTAAAGGATATAGTGTCTGGAGTCTTAAAGGTTTTGAAGATAAACAAAGGGCTATCTAGCTGAGAAGCAACAAAGCCCAAAGGGAAGAAGCACACCAGCCTGTGTGACCATGAGGTGTCAATGGGATCAGGTATCAGGCATCTAAGACCCAGAACAAAATCATAATAATGTGAATGGGGGGGCAAGAGTGCAGAGTAGAGACCCAAAGCCCTCTGTAGAAAATCAGACATCCTTTTACAGAAGGGTCACAAGGAAGAGACAGGCCAGTCAGGGTGCAATATAGCACCGATGAAATATATAACTTTCATCTAGTTTTTAATGCCAACCACACACCCACACACACTATCATGACCTCAATTCTACCTTACAAATCTGACTAGACCAGAACATGTAACTGCTACAGATAAGAGCCCGAACACAGTGAATCCAGGACAGATAGACCCCTCAGGCCAATAATGAGAACAGAGATACCACGAGGGTAAGGGAAGGTGGGGAGGAGAAAGGGGTAATTGGCCACAAGGATCGACATATAACCCCATCCCAGGGGGACAAACATCAGAAAAGTGGGTGAAGGGAGACTGAAGATGATGTAAGATATGAAAATAATAATTTATAATTTAGCAAGGGTTCATGAGGAAAGGAGGGGAGAGAGGGAGGGAAAAGTGAGGAGCTGATATAAAGGGCTCAAGTAGAAAGAAAATGTTTTGAAAATGATGACGGCAACATATGTACAAATGTGCTTGACACAATGGATGAATATATGGGTTGTGATAAGAGTTGTAAGATCCCCCAATAAAAGCATTTAATAAAAAAAAAGAGTAAGGAATGTAAATTTGTGATTTCCACAATGGGGAGGGCGTGGGTTACCCACCATGGAGAGAACCCTGATTACAAGGGCCATTTTAACAACCAGTTCACCAAATTCAACAAAAACTTAGGCATCAGTTCTGCCAAACCAGGGCAAACTGACTGAATGCCACCACTGGATGATGCTCTCTGCTTTTAAAGATGTATTGTCTTAGACCCTGGGTAGGGTCTCCATGAGTAGGAACTGACGTGATGGTAGTGGGGATTTGGGTTTGATAGCTATGTTTCTGTGACGCTGGAAACAATTCCAGCGAGTAATTCAAATACTAGAAGAATTCCCCATTGAAAACCGTTTCAGAAAAGCATCCAGTAAGACTAAGACTAGAAAGGAAAGACT